CCCTGACACGTACGGGGCACCTCAGCCCGCGTCTGTTTGTCGTGGCTGCTGGTTGAGGGCTGCAGCAAGGACGTTATGTTCTAAGAGCTTTGACCTCCCTCAATGTGTACCACGCACACTCCAGCTCAGAACACCCATGGTTACCTGAGTGTCGTATTCCTCGGTCTTCCTTTCGGATTCGCTGGAAGTGCCAAACTGTTTTTAAGATTCAACAAGATAACTTTCATTAATTTACTTGGGGAAGGAATATGTGCCCAGCTCAGTTATGCATCACAGACCCGGTGACATTTATGATTGAGGACAGCGGTGAAGGTGACATAACTACCAGCTGTGCTTCTTGTCCGGCTCCTGTGCTCAGGAGCACTGACAATGGCCGTGGGCGCTGGGACACGTTGCCTCTGGCCCTGCCATCAGAGCCAGGAGCCGACCACGAAGCACCTTGCCCCGGAGCCACAGAGGGAGCCCAAGCTGGACAGTGCATGTCTTCTACCCTGGAGAGGGAAACGGTTGGCCGACCTCTGGTACGGGGTCGTCCGGCCTTTACTGTAGCATGAGTTCCCACCACGCCACCCCAGTTGTAGCATGTGGGCACCAGGTTCCTGCCAAGCCACACTGGGTGCTGCGTGCAGGTGCCCAGGTTCCCGCCAAGCATCACAGGGTGCTGGATGTGGGCATGCGCATGACCCACTGGTGTGCGTCTCACTGATCTGAGCTCCCTCATATTGCAAATTCTGTTGGTTCCTTACAGTGGAAGCATTTCCTTCACACACACATACTTCTGATACTGCTCTGTGTTACAGGTAATGCTAAGAATCACTAAACATGAAGGCTATGTCCTGTCTTTGGGCCACACGGAAGCTGGACGCTGGAGCCCGCTGAAAGCCCCCAGGCTCTGATTCAGTGGGAACACCACAAGTAGAACCATCTCGTGACTGTAAACCTCACTCTCTAACATTTAATTCTCAGCCCTAATTGGCCCAGAAATCGATCAACGCTTAGTCACTGGGAAAAACCACAGCCTCAGAAGAGGTGACCGTGGTTTTGGAAATGGTCCTGCACGTCACTCCTCCATGGTGTGACCACTGAGCATGTACAGGAGCATGGAGACGAACAAAATCTGGACACCAAACATGGAGCAGCTCTCAGCAGGTTCCCTCGAAACTGCTGACAAAAAAAAACAAACCAAACTCACTGCCATCGAGTCAACTGTGATTCGCAGTGACCTGTCCTTGGGTTTCCGAGGTGGCATCTCTATGGAAGTAGACTGTCCAGTCTTCCCTCCAAGGAGTGGCTGGAGGGTTTGAACCCCCAGCCTTCTGGTTAGCAGTCAAATACCTTAGGCACTACGCCACCAGAACTGAGTGGAGTCAAAAATAGGTCACGTGACTAGCAAAGCTCTGGTGAACAAAGCAGAACTGGCTGTGACAAGAAAGCCAACAGAACCCCACAGCAGAGCTCTGTAGTGGGGGAGCGTAAAGAGGACACGCCTGGCCTGGTCAGGCTGCTCCAGCCCCCCTCGGCCACCCCAGCATCTTCATCAACTCGCTTATGATCTAACACATTGTTCCAGGTGCCAGGAAGCAAACAGACAAGAGAACTAACGAGCTCAGGATCTCCTAGGGGACGGCAAATACAACCCAGCGCAAGACGCTTTGACGCGTGTAGTTAGACATTCTGACAGAAACTTTACCTGAAGTGCTGGTCTCAGGCCTCTCCAAACAACACTCATCTTCAATGCCTTCTTCACTTTCCACAGCTGAGGGAACAAATGAAACCTTGTGAATGAGATGCCAGGTCCAGGTACCTGGGCAGTGGACGGAGGAGGGCCCTCGTCTGCGGTCTGTGACTGTGCAGCCCTGCCTGCCCCACGGTCGCCCTCTCAGCCCAGCCGCTCCCATTTTCTGTCCTACCTCTCGCTGTCTGGCCAGGCCTGAGACGCTGCCCCGGCCTCAAGCCCCAGCCCCCCACAGCTCTGCTTGGTGAGGAGACCCACCCACGGGGATGCTGCAGTCATCTGAAGCCTGACCATCACTCCCAGTTCCCTCACAGACGGAGGCAAGAGATGGCTCACCTGCCTCCCCGCCTGTTTCCAGGTCTGCCTCCCCACCCCCATGGCACCTGTCAGTCCCCCCTCTCCGGGATTCAAGCCTTGCTCAGTCTTTGTGGCCACACTCCAGCTGCAACATCACTGACTGACCAGTTTTCACAAGGTGACTTCTGACCCCAGGGGCCACCTGCCCACACTGCGCTGTTGCACGGTTGCTTACACCCCCTCTGCACGGGCACTGGGGGCCGCAGCCGTTGTCTGCCAGCACCCCCAGCACTGTGGGCAGCCCTGGGCCAGCCCTCAGGGTGTCAGACGCCTGCTCATGGTCCTCGTGTGCCCAGACAGCCATCCTCATCTGCCCTCCACCTCATCAATCCCAGGCCTGTCACCCCCTCGCCTGGCCTGTCTCAAGGAGCTCCCCTCCCGCTCCCATCCACCTTGCTCCCCCTTTTCTGAGCCCCTAGAATCAGAGCTGGCTCATGCTGCACTGACTGACTTCAACTACTGCCCACCAGACAGTCTCAAACCTCTGCCCAGGCGATAAGCTCTGAACACCAAGGCCACGCCTCCTACTTTCTCTGCCAGTGGCGGTGCCACGCACACTTGCGGTTTATCAAGCGTGGCAGAACACACCAGCATCGTTAGTTAACCTGAGCCTACGCAGCTAAGAAAGGACAGAAGTCCATCAACGACCAGCTTTCCTGCCCTCAATCTGTGAACTCTTTAAGCAGCCCCCGCCTCTCCTGGCGGTCTGGTAAGACCCGCAGCACTTGTTAATGCAGACACGACTGCGTGGGCGAAGGTCAGTAGCCCCCGGAGAAGAGCCTCCCATCTGCGGACCCCTCTAGACTGCAGCCCACAGCACTGGACCTCCCTGCCGCGGCTGCCGCGCACTCACCTCGATGGCCGCTCCGATGCCTGCTGGGATCAGCACCAGGAGGCTCGTCTGCTCGTCCAGAAGGAAGAGGAAGATCACCACGGTGCTGAAGCAGCGCCAGAGCACTGGGGGGCGGAAAGCAACGCGCGTCAGAAGGGCCACCACAACAGTCACCTCGTGCCCGGGCCTGGCAATGCCACCGCCTGTTTCATCCCCGCAAGTTCCCAGCTGACACACAGGAAACAGCAGGGACTTTTACTCCCACGAAGTCCTTGGGCCGTGTGAACAGTGAGCGTGCGCAGCTGCGCATCAGAAGATGGGGGGCCCAAGTCCACCCAGAGGGGCCTCGGGAGACGTCTAGCCATCAGCTTCTGAAAAGTCGGCCGCTGAAAACCCAGCGGGACACAGTTCTACTCTGACACACACATGTCGCAACAAAGCAAACTCCACTCGACAGCAACTGGTCTGAACCGATGTGGTAACTTCAAGGGAGAAACCAGCCAAATGAGCCACAGAAATACCTCTCTTCCTCACTCACCACGGCCGACAGGAAGGGGCGGGAGCCCAGACGGGCTATGAAGAACACGCTTGACATCAAACCCGTCCCAGCTCTTGGGAAGAATGCCAACTTGAGTCACAGGCTAACCTGACAAGGAACCGCTTTCATCACAATTTCACTACATCCGTTTTCACTTTTGTTCACAGTGTTCTGTGACTTACACCTTCACCATGGCACCATCACAGCTGCCCAGTGCTTCCACCAGGATTGGGATTTGGGGGGGACACTCATCTACCCCCAAAGATGAGGAAGCCTATAGTGCAACACTGAAAACCTCAAAGCCTAGTGTGAGCTCAGCCGGCCGTTCCTGTGCGTTGGCCTCAGCTGCCCCCTCAACCAGCTATCAAGTGCTCAAAGCTGCACCAGCCCCAAGGATCCTGGGCTGCTCGCACTCCTGGGAACTCAAACAGTTTCTCCCCTTCCCACAGGATCCTCTAAGGGACAGACATGCATGGACACCTTCCTTCTCTCCAGAGGCCTTTCCAGCAGCTCAAAAGGTGACCTTTGGGGGAACAGGACCTGTGCCGACACAACTGGCTAAGATGAGGTCATCTGGGAGCCGGGTGGGCGCACTGCCGAGGAGGAGGGGGAGAGACTCCGGCAGAGGGCGGTGAAGACAGAGGCAGGGGCAAGTCAGGCGGCACTGAGGGCCACAGCCAAGCACCGCGGCCGGGAGGGGCAGGATGGACTGCCTCAGGGCTTCCTACAGGAGTGGAGCCTGCCAGCGCCTGGGCTGTGGCCTTCCGGTTCCCCAGCGGTGAGATGTTACCACACTTCTGCTATCGTAAGCCACCCAGGCTGTGGTGCTCTGCTCCAACACAGGAAACTAATCCATGCGGTTAACACTGCAGTTTCGTACAAATGTGTGTGGCAACTATTTGTAAACATGGAGACACGTGTAGGAAAACCACTGAGAAAACAGTTCCTGACTGTGGGGTGTAAGTATTTCTGTTGTCCTGTGTTCTTACTTTATGCTTGCCTGCATTTACAGCAGCTCCATGACAAACATAAGTCAACCTCTGCAACCTGTGGAGGACTGGTTCCAGGGACCTCAAGGACACCAAAACCTGTGGTGCTCGAGTCGCTTCCATGAAATCACACAGTATTTGCAAATACCCTGTGCACGTCCTCCCGTGTCCTTTACATCCTCTCCACGCTACTCACAACACCCAATTCAATGTAAACACCGTGTGCTTTGCACTCTCTTCACCTGAGAGGTGGCCTGGACAACTCCCACCCCTCAGTATATTCCATCGACAGCTGATCGAAGTGGAACCCGCAAATACAGAAGATTATTTCTTTTGAAAGTCATACTTTAAAAAACTATCTAGCTTACCTTGCCTCTGCCTTCCATCACTGTGACAGTACTAAGCAGTACTCTGCAAGGCCTGAGCAGCACACAGGAGTGCTCACTGAGTGTGAGCCCAGGAGCGTCACGGCTCACATGGAGAAAAAGTCCCAGGGAGCCTCAGTGGAGGTGGGACCAGGACTCCTTTCCCGGATGTAGCAGTCTGGACCCCACGGCTGGTCTCCCTCTGTCAGGAAACGTGGGTCCCCAGGTCCCAGCATGCCTCCCTCTGGACAGGCCTCTGCCCATCCCGGAGGAGCCCCCGGGCACCCTACGGCAGACCCTGCTCTGCTCTGTCTTCCTGGGGAACACCACTACCGCCTGGTCCACAGGCTACCTGTGGATTCATCTGCTTCCCCACCCTGCTTACGTGGTGGCAGCAGACCCAGCGCCTAGAACGCTGGCCCACTCGACACTCAGGTGTTTCTGAAAGAATTCAGAAATGCATGCAATGACAGGCACACATCATGATGCTTTTTGTGTGTGATTTTCTTTTGTCCCTTCAAACATAAGAAAGGACTATCACTCCTAGCTTATGGAGCAGACAGTTTTAGATGTTAAATCAGCATCAGGACACACGGTCAAGGGTTGGGATTTTGGCCCAGGTCCCATCTCCGAAGACAGAGCCCTCTCCACCAGGAGCCCCTGCCAGCAGTGTGTGCTGCCCAGCTTGCCCAGTACCCATCTCGGGACTCTTTCTCCTGCTAACTGTGCTCTGACCTAGAAGCACAGCTGGGCACCCTGCACTATCCACAGACCCCAGTGTGGCACTGATGCCAACAGCCCACTGGGCAGCTCTGTGAACATCTGAGCACCTACACGGACCAAGGCATAGGAGCCCATAGGAAATGAATGGGAAACAGCGGCTGCAGAGAGAGGGAGAGCGGAGGACCAGAAGCGGTCATGCAGATGGTGGAGGGAAAATGCGAAAGGAGCAGAACTCTCACTGCTCTGAAGGTGGGTCAGGGGTCAGGTGGAAGAGGCAGGCCTGCCAAAGCAGGAAGGACGCTAAATCCCAGTCTTTCAATAGCTCCCATAGCACCCAGGGGTCCCAGCCCTACCTGCCCAGGCCCACAGGCCCCACACACACTACAGGGTCTTACCTTCACCTGCCTAGGCCCACTGCCCACACCAGGGGTGGCCTGTGCTGCCCCCAACAGTCAAGAACTCCTCTGTGCTCCGCTGCACCCAGGCTGCCCATTAGTCAGAGTCACAAGCTGTTTGCCTGGAGGCGGAAAGGGCCTCTGGATGTGCTCACAGACCCGTGACCTCAGGATGCTTCTTTGCACCCAGGGCTGGGTCTGGGCAGCAGGTAAGGCTATAGCCAAGGGGTGCATCTGTAACAACCACTCGTAACATACCATCCTCAGTTCCTCACGTTAGTCTTTATCTAAAGAGCAGACTTCAGTGAATGGTAAATGGGCCAACCCATGCTCAGGGTCCCTACCTGCTTTGGTGGACATTCCAATCATGCTCTTCTTTTTCTTCCAGAAACTTATGTCATTTTTAAATGCCAGGAAATCAAAAAGGAGCTGAAAATAACAAACATGACAGACATTTACAGCTAAAGGTGGGTCTCTCACTCGTGTCCCCCGAACGGAATGCAGGTGTGTGAACCCAAACCTTAATGGAACTACAAGATAGGTATCGAGCATGTCACAGGATCTGCCACAGACCCCTCAACTCATCCCATCTTCTCGTCAGAACCATGGAGGTCAAGGTGCATTTTTGTGGGGACACCTCTGACTCAGATCCAGGGGCAAGTGCCCACAGGATGTGTGAGGCTCCCTTTTCCACTCAGAGCTCCCCTCGAGCCAGCAATGCTCTGCGAGATCAAAAGAGCCACTGAAGCAGGGAGGCCCCACCGTTGGGGCCACCATGTCCTCAGCACACAGCCCCCCCACCCGGGGCTACCATGTCCTCAGCACACCACCCCCCCACCCAGGGCCACCATGTCCTCAGCACACC